GCTTTCGTATGGAGGGTGCCAACTTTCTGCTAAAAAATGCCAGTGGTTCCCATTTGTTGTTCGTGTACTGCTGCAAGACTGCGCCGATGCCATTCTCTGAAGCGTCTGTAAAAATAGCCCATTGTGCATGCGTGTCAGGGTGAACTAACAATGTAGCCTGGCCAAGAGCCTCTTTCGCTTGGGTAAATGATTTCCTAAGCTCTTCATTCCAACCTAGTTTATGAGAGCTCTTAACGTTGGGCCCTTCCAGCAGCTTATTAAGCGGTGCTAAGATGTCAGCTGCGTTCTTAATAAATTTCCGGTAAAAGTTGATTGTCCCAAGAAATCTGCGCAGCTCTTTAATATTGCTGGGGAACTTGATAGAAAGGATCGCGTTAACTTTCTCGGTAAATGGCTTGATACCTTCTTTGCTTACCATATGACCCAGGAATTGGACTTCGGTCTGGCCCAAACGAGACTTACCAGGATTGATGACTAACCCATAGTCCTTCAGGCGTTGAAACAAAATTTCAAGGTGCTTCAGGTGTTCCCTTTCATCGACAGATGCAACCAAAATGTCGTCGATGTAGACGAAAAGAAATGGTAAATCGCGCGTAACTTCATCGATGAATCTCTGGAACGTCTGGGCAGCATTTCGTAGGCCGAACGTCATGTACGGAAACTCGAAAAGGCCGAAGGGAGTAATAATAGCTGTTTTACAGATGTCTTCTGGAGCTACTGGGATTTGGTTGAATGCCCGAACCAAGTCGATGGTAGAAAAAATTGTCTTCCCATGAAGAGTCGCAGTAAAGTCTTCGAGGCAACGCACTGTTTATTTGTCTGGCACAGTGCGAGAATTCAGACTGCGGTAATCTCCGCATGGTCGCCATTCCCCCGAGCTTTTAGGTTGGAGGTGAAGCGGGGATGACCATGGACTATGAGATGGTCGAGCGATCCCGAGCTTAATCATTTTTTCGAATTCATCACGAGCTGCTTTGAGTCTATCTGGGGCAAGCCGGCGCGCTTTGCTTGTAACTGGTGGTCCACTTGAAGTTCGAATGTGATGGAGTGTGCCGTGTTTCTTAGTGTTGATAACACCGTGCGGCCTAGTGATGTCCGGATACTTACAAAGTACTTTGTGAAATTGGGTGTCACCTTCAATTGCTTTAATTGATGCGGCGCTAGTAACTTGTGCTAAGAATATCGGCGAAGATAGACCAGTGAGTCCGTCACGAAGGCATTTTCGCTTGAGAAGGTCACGGAACACTGTGTGTTTGGTGCTCAGCAGTACCAGCAGCAATGAGGGTGACGTTTATTACCAAATAAACGTATTAGTCGCTTTTTGTAATTTTATTTATTTTTTTTAACGCGTACGCTCGCGTTCGGCCTATTTTCCGGCGAACGTTTATGAGCCTGCAATCGGACGTGCACGTGTTTGAAAATTTAACTATTATCAATCTTACGCGATCGGGGTCACTAATGTAGCGATTAACCCTGTTCTTCGTTAAAACAAATAATTAATCGACTACGAGGATTAAACTGAACTTATTTATTCGATCTCAAAAGTCTTAATACTAATAATTACAATTTAAATGTGATGTACCAAGTTGTTCGCGCGGTGGTTGAAAGTAGAAGGAGAAAAAAGGAATAGTCAAAGAAATACAGATGAAAAGTGGCGTTGCCACATTAAAGGCGAAAATACGATTTAAGTTGAGAATTTTAAGAGTTGTAGGGTTGCCGACCGCTACATATACATAGCATAATTAAAATGAAACCGATAGATTTTATTAATAGAACCGATGATTATAAAAAAATTGCCAACATAATGCGACAAAAAAAGAAGAAATTATAAACAGAATTAATTTGAAAAGGGAAGATATACCGAATTGCAATGTTTTAAGATCTTTATATTAGAAATCCTAAAACACAGAGGCAAAAAATTGTTAGACGTTTTCTAAAACATCACACTTCCAATCCAATGAAAATAGATTTTGATTCAGTTAAAAGACCTTTAAGACAATTTATGGATTTATAATTGTTAAATAAAATGTAAAATGTTAACACGAAGGATTTTTTTTGTTAATTTTGAAATAATTTTACTTATTAATTATGATATATCATGAGATAATTTGTTAATTTAAAAAACTGTACTTATCTATTTAAATTCAATTCAAAGCGATTTGAATTATAAGAAAGGGCGAGTTATATATGTATGTATATGTGTACTTGTTATTGTTATATTTGTTTCTTTTATACTTCCTTTTGTGAATATTTATTGTTTAAACAAATACGTTTGCCGGATATAAAAATATTTTATGAGAATGAAAATTGTAATAGTTTAGCTTGAATAATTTTGTGAATTGTAAAACAACTACATATATACATCTTATTAATAATAATGTAAAGAAAAAGCAAATTACCCCTAAAATCAATATTTACTTTTCTTGCGCTCTAACTTGGTTAAGGAATATCTGCTCTCTCTTTCGGCCGCGTCGGAGTACTTCCGCATTAGGCTTATTTGGGTTCCGGGACACAGCGACATTGGGGGGAACTGCGTAGCTGACGAGCTCGCCAGGGAAGGAACCCGTGAAACGCTATCACCGGATAAAGAACGGCTGGGAGTGCCATTGATCGCTTGCGGTTCACTCTTGGATAGATGGGCCTCATGTCAGCTCAGCGAACGCTGGGCGAATACCATGACATGCGCGATCGCAAGGTTCTTTTGGCCGAGGGTGGACCGGGGGCGGTCGAGGGCACTCCTCACACTCGCAAAGCCAAAGCTATCACTTCTGGTGGGGTTTTTAACGGGTCGCTGTCCTATAGGTATTCACGCAGTAAGACTAAACATTCTACCGGACCCTTTGTGTCGCTGTTGCCTTGGAAGAGGACGAGGTAGAATCACCTCAACACTACCTTCTTAGGTGCCCAGCGTTTGCGAGGCTAAGGTTGAAGTACTTTGGCTCTCACTTTCTAAAGAGCCCCGAGGAGCTTTGGGGCATTGAGATCAGTCGTATTAGTAAATACATAATCGGCGCGGAGCGTTTTAACGATAAAGTTTAGTGGGCCGTTTCCAAATTGTGGTATCACAAAGGGTTACACGGGGTTGCCACCTCACCTAACCTAACCTAAGACTTCCTCCGACCACCCATAAATTGACCGAAGCTGCTCCACTCTGTCCAAGAATTGCTGTGTCTTAAGTGGGTGAAATCCCGTAGCATCCCGATAATGTCCGTCATCGTGTGTTTGACTACTGTTGACATTGTTGGTGGTCCGGCCCCCACCATATATGGAGGTGTTGTTGACAGTCCTGCCCTATTCGCTTGCATTGTAGCATCTGCCCCTGATGCACCTGCCGTTGCATGCGATGCACTCGCCACATCTGTATCTGAACCTTGCTGCATTCCTTGTATTGCAGCCTCACTCTGGTTACGATTGTTGCTTACCAAGTCTGCTACCGCTTAGACATACTGGCGATCATTTCACGGAGCTCATCGACTTGCTTTTGCAAGACTGGAACCTCTTCAATCTCCACTTCGTCATCTTGCACCTCGTCCATGAACGAAAGACACAAGATCACGCCTTAAGGAAAGAGAGAAAAAAGATATTTTCTAGCTGTCGAAATCTCGACGCCATCTTTGTTGTAAGAAGTAAACAACGGAGAGAACCGCGTAATTGTTGAACGCATGAATAATCATTTTTATTATGCAAATTCTTTTATAAATCATGTCGTTGTGTTAAATTATTCTTTACCTTGTGTGTGCACACGTTGTCACAAGCGAAAATTAAGAAAATTGCAGCAAAAAGCCACCACCAAATTGTAAACAACGAACAAATGTAAATAAACGGCTAATGTCAAAGTCGCCCAACTTTTATCCTAAATGCGATTATAACGGGCTACTAAGAAGGCGTGATCTTGTATTCTTGGTTCATGCACCTCGCCTATGTTGTAAATTTCCATCAACCGCGATATAGTTGTGAGCCTTTGCTCCTGTGACTGACAAATTGTGTTTTTCCAGTAGAATATTCAATTGTTTCACTTTTAAGTCATTCAGTTTAAACATTTTAACTCCAATTCCTGATTCCGGCTTTTTTCCCCACGCGTCTATCTTCGTTCACTCCGCCGTTGAAAATTCAAAAATCCCTACTCGCCCTCGATTTACTTAATTTTGCCTTTCCTTTTCTGTATTCCGCCCTGCTTTTTTCTTCTCGCCGCTAACTCTATTCTTCTTTTCTATTTCGGTGCCGGTTCGTGCAGCAATTCCTCGTATTCTTGCTACACGCTATTTCTTTTATGAGTATCTATCACTCGTTCGTTCTTTTGCGTCTATCGCTCGTTATTCTTTTCTGTGAGAATGTCTATCACTCTTTGCTCGTTATTTTGCGTCTATCGCTCATTATTTCCTTATGTGAGAATGTATATCACTCTTTGCTCGTTATTTTGCGTCTATCGCTCGTTATTTCCTTATGTCAGAATGTCTATCACTCTGATTGTCCTTATTCGTCTATCGCTGGTAACTTATTTTGTATACGTGTGTGTGTGTGTGCGCCTTGCACGACAAAAGGCCAATGTAGTTTAAGTGTTAATATGACTGATGAAAACTATTCAGAGCCGTCCGCTCACTCGGCGGCAATTCACACGTTACTCCCTCTCGCTGACATATGTATTAAAAAAAAAACTAAATAAAATTCTAATTACATTATGTGATTCGAAAACCAAAATTCTTTAATTACAATAGTTTTAATTTTAAATTGGAGCAGGTCCGTAAAAATAAGTTTACTTAAAATTTTGAGAACATATAAATCAGTCTTCATGATAAATACTCTGTTTAATATTTCTTTGAATCACAATTGATCTCTTTCTTGGGCTTACAAGTACTTGGCTTACCACTGCCACCTCCGTTGTCACCGCATTTGGGATCTGGTTTTTTGCTGTTGAAGGATTGGATTTAAAATAAAATTATCTTATTAGAAGTGACTGAAAATATATAACCTTAATTTTGTTTTAATAAAGATTGTGAATATATTTGTTTGTAGTAGTTCATCTTAAAATAGCTTTTAATTGTTGAACAATGTATTATAATCTATGTGTAGGAATAACAATAAATATGCATAAAAGAAAACCAGATGAAGCGTTTTCAAGGTATAGAACTTCAAGCTGCCTTCAAGGCAAATTAAAAACTACAGTCCGCTACTTGCAGAGGATAAAAAACATTTGAAAGTAAACTAAAAATAGAAAATTTTAAAATAAAATAAAAGAAATGCGGTAATATTTGCAATAATCGTACTCGTATTTGTAGTTTTAATAGCAACGCATACAAATATTCGTTCGTTTTTTTACTAATGATAACTAATCAGTTACTTTACACTTAAACTGATCTACATATGTATGTGTATGTTAAATTTTTTCAACTTAAGGCTTTCGAGTTCTTGAAGTATGTATGTATATGAATGCATATATGTACATTATTTGTTTCAGGTGTAGAAGTATGTATGTATTACGTTATTCTAATCGTGCCTTTGTGAGATAAGACTTGATCCCGAGCTAATGCGTGTTGTTATCGTTGAATTGTGTATATTTTTTCTGTAATATAAAATATCTACTTCACGCTGTCAGGAATCTCAAAGCTGACATCCATGTTCATTTCACGTGCCAAATGTACAATTTGGGCCAAGTGAACAGACAAATTTGCAGCCTCATCCAAATCGTGACGGGGTATGATCCTCAGACCGGATTGACGGATCAATTCTCGTGCTTCATTTACATTTGTACCCTAAGCGACACAATCAACATCCAAGATATTAGAATTTTAAATAAAGATACATATGTACGTGTAATGCTGACTTACCTGCAATCGGACAACTATTGGCATTTTCATGTTCAGATCCTTGGCAGCAGCGATAATACCCTCTGCAATGACATCACAACGCATAATTCCACCGAAAATATTCACTAAAATACAGTGGACTTTCGGATCGGCAGTAATAATCTTGAAGGCCTCTTTCACAGCTTGTGCAGTTGCACCGCCACCAACATCAAGGAAATTGGCTGGATCGCCTCCATATAACTTAATAATATCCATAGTCGCCATAGCCAAACCAGCTCCATTTACCATACAGCCGATGGTTCCATCTAAAGCAATGTAATTCAAATCGTATTTGGCCGCCTCCACTTCTTTGGGATCCTCTTGTGTCCAATCACGCAAAGCAAATAACTCCTTCTGACGGAATTCAGCATTGTCATCAAAGCGAAATTTGGCATCCAATGCGAAGACTAGAAAAATAAAACAAAGCAATTGGTCAAAAATGCATTTGTATACTTAAAAAATAATAATTTGGCTTATTCCCGTTGTCGTTTTGACCCGATAATTTGGCATCACAGTTGGCGTTATCGACACGGATATAAACCCATGAACAAACAAAAGAAGATCACCTATTCAAAGAAGCAAGAAAAAAAAGTATATTTCTGAGCGTTTTTGACATTTGTCTAAGAATGAAAACAAACAAAGAAAACGAAAAAGGCGCGGTGGTTAAGTGTGATTATATTGGCATTTATCATAAAATAGTTGCGTTCGCGTAGCTGTTAATTGTTCATGTTTAACCAAAACTTACACGCAAAAGGCGTTCGCGTACGCAAAAAACTTGCAAAGTAGGGGAAATTGAGAGAGCAAAGTGACATTTCATTTTAAGGGGAGCTGCTGGTTTCTGCTGGAAACATTTAGTCTGTTCCAATAGCAGTTCGGTTTACACGATTTAGTCAGAACTTACAGGAAGTCGTTCCTATTGACATAAAACCTGTAAGTAGGAACACTTTTGAGAGAGTAACTGAGCAACTGTTCCTAGTCAGAAGTTACAGGATTTAGTCCGAAGTTTTTTTTCTTGTAAGTTCATGAAAAGTGTCAAACGATCAGCTGATTTGCATGTGCAAACAAAAACAGAAAGCGGTGAAAGCAAAGAACCTTATATTTGTAAAAAAATGGAAGGAAACAAAGAAATGTTTGAATATGTATAGATTTGAATAATTATTGAGTGATATTTCAGCCAAATCAGTATTGTACCAATGACTAATTTTTTAGTCTGTTCCTTTGAACTTCGGACTAAAACCTGCGGAACTGTCAAACCACAATTTTACTCTCTCAAGTGAGAGTAAAAGGAGAACAGATGCAGAAGTGTTGGGGAACGCAAATGGCACTATTTCCTGTAAAAACGTCAGTCGGTTTGTTTACATGACATTCGTACAACACTGATTTGGATGCAATATCACTAAATAATTTTTAAAATCTATACATATTCAATCATTTCTTTGTTTACTTCCATTTTATACAATATAGGGTTCTTTGCTTTCGCCGTTTTCGGTTTTTGCTTGCACATTCAACTCAGCTGATCGTTTGACACTTTTTATGAACTTGCAGGAAAAAAAACTCCGGACTAAATACTGTAACTTCTGACTAGGAACAGTTGCTCAGTTACTCTCTCAAAAGTGTTCCCACTTACAGGTTTTATGTCAATAGGAACGACTTCCTGTAAGTTCTGACTGAATCCTGTAAACCGGAATGCTATTGGAACAGACTATTTGCCAACAGCAATTTGCCCACAGGAAAACAGCTGATCAAAAACAGCTGGTTGGCATTTGCGCAAATCACAAAATTGCATTTGATGGTTTGGAAGTTAAAAATTACAAAATGAGACTAATTAAACTTGTAAGAAATAAGTAGTTATTTGTTTAATCAATAAACTGTGTCAGTATAACACTTTGTGATGACTTTTCGTACGTTTTAAATTTTACACTTTTGAATGTAAATTGTCTGTTCCTTTGAACTTCGGACTAAAACCTGTGGAACTGTCAAACAACAATTTTACACTCTCAAGTGAGAGTAAAAGGAGAACAGATTCAGAAGTGCACGGGAACGCAAAAAGCACTATTTCCTGTAAAAACGTCAGCCGGTTTGTTTACATGTCATTTGGACAACAATGATTTGGCTGAAATATTACCAACTAATTATTAAAATCTATACGTCTTCAAATATTTCGTTGTTTACTTCCATTTTTTTACAAATATAAGATTCTTTGCTTACACCGCTTTCTGTTTTTGTTTGCACATGCAAATCAGCTGATCGTTTGACACTTTTCATGAACTTACAGGAAAAAAACTCCGGACTAAATCCTGTAACTTCTGACTAGGAGCAGTTGCTCAGTTACTCTCTCAAAAGTGTTCCCACTTACAGGTTTTATGTCAATAGGAACGACTTCCTGTAAGTTCTGACTAAATCCTGTAAACCGGACTGCAATTGGAACAGACTAAAATAAAAATTATATCAGCGGTTCGTCTAACTTGCAAGTTTCTGCAAATTTTCTGTTCGCGTACTATTTTGGATATTTTTCTCTTGTGAGAGAACAGATGACATTTCGCCGGAATTTGGCAGTTGGTTGGTTTTTACTGGAGATTTTAAACGAACGCACCTAATATAAGAAGTGAAACTGAATTAAAAAAATGAGCCAAAGGTGTTCAAAAATATGTTTTTCGTGATGGAAAGTATTTTGCAACCACGTAGCATCAGCACAGTTCGATTTTTCAATGCCAGAGTTCTGACCACAAAAGTGCACCCACATTTCACGCAAATTTATGCCTCTTGGCAAACCAAACATACGCAAACATTTTCCAATCACAGAGCACTTCATTTTGTTTCATAAATTTGTAATAAATCAAAATTTATAATTAAAATCGCTGCAGAAAACACATTAAATCGCTTAAAAATCACTACGAAGAGGTAGAGGACGGTTTAAACAAAACCAATAAACATCAAAAACGCTGCGAAAACTTTTTTCTGAAAATCGATTACAAATACAACTATGGCTGATTAGGTGATCTGTAGTCGTTGGTCCATGGATATATACCTATACACAGTAATGACATAAAAACATTCGTTATCTGTCATCCTACTAGAATTAAATGCGCTAGAAAACTACATACCAACATTTTTTCTAAAGATTCTGATTAAAAAGTTGAAATTTTGGTAAAAATTGGCAGATTTTTTATAATTTTTGTACAAAGATCGGTGTTTGTCGTATAATAAAATAATAATAATAATAAAATAATAATTAAATAAACAAAAGACAAATAGCCAAAACGGATCAACTCCTATTATTTTGTGGACCAATGTACCCCAGTAAAAGAATTATATGTGCAATATGTTTTTCCTCATTTTAGCATTATGAAAGAAGAGTAAAACCTTTTGCTGAATGCGATTATAATAGCCTTTAGTTTATAACTATTTTCTTATGTTAAGTTGACCTTCCTTTACAATTTTAATCACCATTATCACAAACAATAGTTAATATGCAATAGTAAATAATTGTATGTGCAAAATGAACTATTCAGTGTCCAGTGTCAAAAATTTTCAACAGAAATCTAGACCAATGGCTGTGTGGTAAAAGCTTTAACATATATAATCTATTTTCATAATAAAATCCGTTTTATTATATTCCCTAGTTATATTATATCCCATAATATCCCGTGCCATTGAACAATCTGAAGAAGAGCCCGAAAGTATAACAGGAATGAATGTGGCATAAAAATTAGTTAATTAACTGCTGAAGTAATCGGACAGGAAATTATAATAAGATGTTCCTTTAAAAATCCCGACGACTATGGAAATTATAAGCTTGGTGGCTCTATACAACCCCAAAAGACTGGTGCAAATGACATATCTAAAGATTAGCTACTACGCACAGCATGATTTACCATAAAAAATTGAAATGTATTTGAATCTCTCTGTCACAAGTAAAAGTTCACAACAAATAATAAACCACAGTTTTGGTACTTAGGGTGAAAAAATAAATCACTAAGCCACAGTCCACTCTATGGCACGAAATGCTTTTTCAGCATTTTACAAAAATTACAAATTTTGTAGGAAGAATTGAAAAACGCTAAATTTCAGTGATGGAAACAACTTCAATATAATTGATTCTGATGCCCACCACAACTTGGAGTGTAATCTGGCTTCTACGGCAAACCCGTCCTTGGCGAAAGGGATATTTGAATTAAAGTAAAAGTCATATAGCTTTGGAAATCAAATCAAATCTTTTCACAATGAATATCCAGAAGTAGAATCATTCTTTGTGCATCAAGTTGGCAAATTTTTCGCTGATTTCGACCGAAGATATTTGAAAATTCCAGCGGTAAAACGTCGCTATTCATACCGTGCGAACAACAAAATTGCTATTCAAGGAACAAAATACCTTCTTTTAGAATATGGGCTTTAATACCACTGGGGATATATAAGGTCTACTTCCCAACAAGATTGTTACTCATTTAAAAAAAAATGATAACGTGTTGAAACTTAAATAAACCAAACTTCACAAATAGGAGGAAATAATACAAATTTTACTACAAAGTTTCGGTAAAATATATGCCGTAAACATTAAAACAAATAAAATTGTGCAATAGAAATACAATCCCCAGTGTTGCCAACTTCTGAGTTTCAAAAAGCATCAAAACTTGGGGAGAAAAGCGTTTCACCGTACTAAAAGCACTAATTTTTTTTGTCCAAAGGATACCTTTTTCATAACAGTTTGTATTTAACAAAAGTCAAAAAAATAAATAAATAATATTTACTAATATATTAAAACTTTTTCTCATACTAACGAAGTATTTACTGCAGATTAAAACTGGTATATTTAGAGAAAGAAAAATCGAATCGCAACAAACGAAAAATGAATGTAGATTCTTTTAAATTCAGTGCTGCTACAACTTTATATATTACAAATTATTTCATATTTTAATTATCTATGAGAAATTTGAGTTCAGAAGAAGAGCACTAAAAAGGCAATAGGCACTAAACGATTTTTTTTTTGGCGTTTTAATTTTCAAAAAGCACTAAATCTAGTACTTAAAGCACCAAGTTGGCAACTATGACAATCCCATACCAACAAATAAAATTATCTTTTAAACATTTTTTAAAATAGTCGGTAACCTGTGTTTCTTTGCACATATAAATATTTTCTACGAAAATTTCAACATAATGGTACAATTAAATTATCTTGTTATAAACTAATGCATATTTATAAAGATTTTTATATTCTTTTGATAGAGTAAATGAATAAAATTATTGGGAAAAAACTTCAAAGATCTAGTATTGGCCTTTCATTCAGCTAATTGAAGTTGAAGTATAGCACATATAATTTTTTTACTGGGGTATGTATAAGCGAGTCAACTTTCAGCAAGCTACTGAGGCTACTTTCGCTCCTCGCATCGCCGTGCGTTATGATAACTGTTCCGGTCCCTGAAAAAAAATCCTCTTATAAATTAGAATATGGTCCTGAGAATATGTATGTATGTAATAAGATTTCTCACTCTAGCTCTCTTACCGGTGTCTGCTAATAAGCGAACACAGCTGTTTGTCTCGCTGGTTAAGTGCTTTTGGTGAAATATTGAAAATTGTAACTGATATTTGTGATCTCTGATATAAATGTATTAAATCAGCCACTACAACATTGCAATTAAAAAAAAAAAAAATCTATTATTAAATATTAAAGATTACTTACAAGAACCTGCCGGGAACAATAGGAAACGTTTGACAGAGAAGATGAGAAGATTTTAGCAAAAAGAAAAATGATGGCGTCAATCCATTGTTTTCATATAGAAACTTATTAATGCAGTGATATATGTATGTATGTAACTTGTTAATAATTCCAAACGTTAAATGAAAATAGGAAATAAGAAGGTTGAACTCTTTGACTACCATCTTTTGCAAATCATACTTACATCCTTCAAGGGCATCCTCGGCATATGGATTAATTTCAATTAGTAAAGCATCCTTCTTTACGAAAACTTGATACATATTCATCAGCATTTTGACAGTATCGTCTTTAAATTCGCCCAAGCCGACCTTTTCAACTACCTTACTAGCTTGTTCGGGCGTCAAGCCAACCTTAATATCAATGGGTTCGTAAATAATGGCTTCGGGATTTTCGGCAGCAACTTCCTCAATATTCACACCACCTTGAGACGAAGCAATAATAACAGGACCCTTTTCAGTCCAAAAGATATGTGTATTATAAGCTTGCTATTTTATGCAGAGCACAAAGCATTTACATACATTAAAAGCTCGCTCCATCATAACGGCAAAGTAGAACTCTCGTCTTGGAAATTTACGCTCAGCAACCATAACGGAGTTGCAAATACGACCAGCAGCGCCGGTTTGTTTGGTAACCAAAAGTTGATTTACCATTTTGCCGGCTATTTCTTGAGCCTCGCTCGGTCTGTGTACAAAAAATTGATATACACTCGATACTCTTTGTGAAGTTTTATAAGTGTAATACTCACGTATTTACCACACGCACACCCCCCTTCAAACCATTCTTAAAATGGCCTTTACCACGACCACCAGCCAAAACTTGTGCTTTCAACACAAGGTTATTCGTTCCGAGTTTCTGCGCAATTTCTTTAGCTTCTTGGCCGGACTTTGCAACGCCGAATCTGGAAAATGCAAAATACTATAATTATAACAAGTAATTTTTAAGCAAAAAACAAAACCGACTTCAATTCTCATATAAAAATTTAAGAATATCATTAATTTCTTTATGATCCAATGATCGGATTTAAACCAAATTAGTATGGGACCACCTGTGAAGTATCACCATGGTACAATTATCGCAGGTATTGTCTTCCCAGAGAGCGCATATTCCGATCTGCCTTATTTGAAAAATATCATTGTTGCCCACACTAAAAGGTTTACTGTAAGGGAAAAGCGAAGTCGGTTAAAAACAATGTTAAGAATAAGACCGAGAACGAGGCATTTTAAGCTTATTGTTTATTCCAAGGCATATCAAACAGGCAGACCAAAAAAATATTTACTTGTAGTTTGTTGTTGCTTCTAGGCATTGTAGAGGCTTACAAGTATGGAAAGCGCCATTTTGTTAGTTTACATTTGAAAACAGCTGAGATCACCTGGAAAAAACTTTGGAACACATTTGCACAAAATTTATTTTATTTACAAGTTTTTTTATTCTTTAAAATAATGAAAATAAAAATTGCAAAATGTATGCTTATTCTTTTATTTTCAATAAAAAAGATTAATAAACGTGTTTCGGGAGATAATTTAGAATTTTATTAAATTTTACGTGTTTACGCAAAAATGCAACAATGTACGTGATCTTTATGTCATTGTTTTCCTTTTCCTTTTCAATTTCAATTTCGTGTTCGTTGTCTGATGAGTTAAGAGATTTTGTGCGATTTTTTCTAAAAATATTATAAATTCAACCATTTGTTAATTCATTTCCAATGCAGTAGCCGGCGTATGCAGTTAACAAAGTCGACAAGACTTTTGCCTTTGGATTTTTTGTATTTAGTGGACGATACCACAACAAATATAGGTAAATAGGTGGTGCTAAATGCTAAACTTACGGTGGTGTTAAATTTTAAATTTAACGAACCTATTATTTTAGGCACACCAACATATTCATAAATTTGTGAACTTAATCGGAATGATCAGTTTTGGGAATGCCATCAGATAAACTGCGTCTGTACATAATCTTCTATATTTGTGCGCAAAACGTAGCCGAATACTAATTTGGGCGCATTAAGGCGCTGCAGGCATAGTTGCCAACTTGGTGCTTTAAGCACTAGATTTAGTGCTTTTTGAAAATTAAAATGCCAATAAAAATTATTTAGTGCCTAGTGCCTTTTTTAGTGCTTTTTTCTGAACTAAAATTACTCCGATATAGTTAAAAACTGAAATAATTTTTAAATATTTAAAGCTGTGGCAGCACTGAATTTACAAAAATCTACAAATTTAAATGCACTTAAATACAACCATGATTGATAAAAAGCTGAACTTGCAAATTCACCTTGTTCAATTCTATTCGCGTTGAAAATGCTAGTAGATATGCGAGTAAGTTAAGTGTTTCTTTTTTCCAATTATTTGTAAAAAATTTTTATTTTTGTACCACCTGAGTAAAACACATCGTTTCTTGGTGCTGATGCTAGAATTTTGAGATATCCTAACCTCTAAGTGCCAAAATCACGGTTTTTGGCGATATTTGAGGTTATATAATGAAAACAGTTAGCCTTCCACATAATCTCACCCAGATCAAAGACAAATGTTGGACGCCGTTCTCAGACTTTTTAATCCAACTCCTGAGTCTGGTCCTTTAAATATCACTTATCAGATCGAACACGTAATTGATACAGGTGATGCAAAACCCGTCATGAAACGCCAGTATCCAGTATCGCCATATGTGGCTGAACAAGTTCAAGCCGAATTGGACAAAATGCGTATTCGTGACATCATTATGACCATCCAAGAAAGCCCTTGGCGGTCACCAATTCTGGCTGTAAAGAAGAAAGACGGAACGTTTCGCGTGTGCTTGGACGCGAGAGAGCTGAATAAAATTACCATTCCAAATGCTTATCCAATTACGGATACTAACCAAATTTTAGCACGACTAATGTCAGCTAAATACCTAACCAGTATTGATCTGTCTCAAGCTTTCTTTCAAATTCCTTTGGCAAAATCGAGTCAACTGAAAGCCGATTTTGCATTCGGTAACAGACTTTATGCTTTTCTTCGCATGACGATGGGGTTGAGAAATTCACCCGCCACATTAGCCATTCTCATTTATAAAATTTTCCGTGATTTGGTTCCACATGCATTCGCATGTGTCGATGATTTCATGATTTGCATTTCGACGTTAAGATGTTGGATATTGTTGCAAAACGTCTGCCTGGGGCCGGCTTAACCATCTCAACATCCAAATCGAATTTTTTTTTTGTAAACGATTGGAATTCCTGGGTTACGTTTTGTCTCAAGAGGGTCTATGTGCGAATCCATCTCGTATTCGAGCTATTGTTGAATTTGCAGGGCCCAAAACGGCAAAAAGAGTCAGACCGTTCGTTGGTGCAGCAGGCTGGTACCGAAAATTTATTCCAAATATTTCGGAGATCACAGCTCCCCTTTGTGAATTGTATAAAGGAAACCGAAAAGGACCCATTGAATGGAATACCGCTGCTGAACAAGCCTTTCTCAAACTCAAAGAGTGTTAAACTACCACTCCCGTTCTGACTATGGCCGATTATTCAAAACCATTCTAGGTTTATACCGATGCCTCGCTTATCGCAGCGGGTGCTGTTCTAGTACAAGAACATGATGGGAATGAACGTGTGGTTCAGTATTTTTGTAAGAAATTCTCGAAAGCCGAACAAAATTACACAGCATTCGAACGGGAATGCTTAGCCGTTCTCTTAGCGGTCGAAAGGTTCTGTCCATATTTTGAGGGTCGTGAATTGGTTGTCGTAACGGACCATGCAGCTTTGCGCTGGCTACAAACTCTCAAAGACCCAACTGGCCGTTTATGTCGTTGGGCGATCCGATTATCACCATACGATCTCAAAATTGTTCATAAACCAGGAAAACATTTGGAACTTCCTGACGCCTTATCTCGTTCTTTTGCTCTTCTCAACATCGTTCGTAGAAATCCAATTGACCTTCCGACTAATTTTCACGTTAATCGTATCCCAATCACATCCGTGATCAACATTGACCCAAACACGTGCGATAAATGGTACAACAAAATGCATGCCATGGCCTCAAAACAACCATTAGATAGATATAAAATCGATTGAAATTTTCCAATCAAAGTGCGGAAATACTGTGGACACTTTGTGTACCATCTTTTGACAGAGCAAAAGTCCTCGATGGAAATCATAACCAACATTCGCATCAGGGTGTTTGGAAAACTTATAGACGTATCTCACAACGCTGTTACTGGCCAAAGATGTATGAGTCCGTTTACCAGTACGTTCGGCAATGTGAACTATGCCACCGCATTAAACCAAGTAATGAGAGCACCGAATATAGAGAACCAAAACGACCGGGTTGGCAATTATCGATTGACTTCGTAGGTAAGCTGCCCATGTCTAAAAATCGTAACCAATGGATCTCCGTAGCCATCGACTGTTACTCTCGCTATGTCTGGGCGCAGCCCATGAAAAATGCAAACGCCGTATCCGTAGTCAATTATCTTCGACATATATTCACGGTGAATGGCTGCCCCGAACTCATTATATCAGATAATGGTACTCAATTCATCAGTCAAACTTTCGCACAGCTTTGCTCCGATTATAACATCAAACACATGAAAACGCCTTTGTACCATCCACAAGCCAATCAGGTCGAGGCGACAAACAAAAGCATTAAACATGGATTACGGGCTCACATGGCTGACCTTCTTGAACATTCCTCCTGGGAAAACCATCTTTCTCGTGTTATTCATGATATTAACACTTCAGTGCATTCAGCCACGGGCTACACGCCATATTTCCTGCACACTGGTCGTGAATATGTGAAAGAGGGAAACGAATATAAATTATTATTGGATGTAAATCCATACCACACACATATCCATACCATACATATGCGCTCAAAGCGAACTGAACGAGTCAGGATGGGGTTGATGAAGATCATGTAGAACGATTTCGATCTAAGGTCTAACGTCGATCAAACCACAGCCCGTGAATCGCATTCGAACCACCATTCTCATATCCCTACTAAACGCTCCACATTTTTTTTGTTAACGTGTCGCTGAAGATGAGAGGGGGATAATGATCTATTATTTTTTATTGCCCAAATAATAGACATAAGAACGATTATAAGAAATGTAAACATAACAAAACTGTCAAAGCTAAACTTCAAAATGGGGGGGGATTGCCAGATGAATGTACGTAACCAATAGTTATTCAAGACACGAACCATCATATCGGTATAGACACGAATTGACATGGCCACTATGAAAACGCCCACACTGACATACGATAAAAGAATCGGTGGGAACATACCACGACGCTAGAAAAATATTCTTCCTTTTTGGAATTGGACACGGACCGAACAACACGAATCAGCCCTAGCAAGAACGGAAGTAATCCTAACCAAGCAATTTATTAAGGCTGACGACATCGGTTTGGTTTAAGTCAATCCTCAGAGTGCGTATACCTGGGGAATATACTTATCGGCATTGTTCCACCACATTCTTTCCGGCAAATCCCCAACCAAGTTTTTACCTGTGGAAATAAAGAGTCTGTGGATATAAATTCTGGTGTATTCATTTGGCAGCAGTTAGGCCACCGCACACCGGTAATCTCCAAATCATCAAACGTAAGTCAACCTAATTATTGTCACCATCCCATTGGAAGCGAGCTACCCAACAACAGTTTATCGAGATTCCTGTTTGAACCGAAAAGAAAAGGTCAAGCAAATCAAGTACCATGTCTGTTGATAAATGGCAAAAGGCGCCTTTTGAGGCACTCATCCCGATAAACTTGGGCGTTCATTGTCCCGGATGTGAAATAAGGTCTGCTCTTACGGCCACAGGAACAAATAGCTTGCCAAACCATGTATTTTTTTTTTTGAAATTTGGACTTCGTTTTCAGCTTACAGCTTTCAGGGGCATCTTGACGACTTGCAGCAGTATACAAATCTTGAC